AAAAAAAAAAAAAAAAAAAAAATCAAAAATATACTGAGTGAATAAAGTCTTACAGAAAATGACCACATACAGTACCATTCTATTTATATGAAGTTCTAGAATAAGCAATACCAATCTATTGTGGAAGAAAATCAGAACAGTGGTTGTCTCTGAACTGAGGATACTGATTGGGAAGGGGCATGAGGGAACTTTCTGGGATGATGGCAATATTCAATATGATGATAAGGGTTTGGGTAACACACATATGAATTTTTCAAAAATAGGCAAATGTACACAAGATTTTGCATTTCATTGTTCATAAATCTTATCTCTAAAAATTATAAATATGAATGATCCTCAAAACATTATGCTAAGTGAATGAAACAAGACATAAAAAGTCACATATTGTATGATTACATTTACAGTGACGCATTGCCTAATGACAGGGATGCATTCTGAGAAATCTACTGTTAGGCAGCTTCATCATTATGCAAACATCATAGAGTGTACTTACACAAACCTAGGGTATAGCCTACTACACACGCCTAGGGTGTACGGTATGTCCTATTGCTTCTAGGCTACAAACCTATACAGCATATTACTATACTGAACACTGTAGACAATGGTAAGTATGTGTGTCTCTAAACATATCTAAACGTAGAAAAGGTATAGTAAGAATATGACATAAAAGATAAAAACTGATACACATGTATAGGACAGCTCCATTATAATCTTATGGGACCACCATCATATATGCGCCATCGTATATATGGTCCACCGATGACCAAAACATCACTATGCAGCACATGAATGTAAATGAAATATCCAGAACAGGTATATCCATAGAGACAAAAAGCAGACTGGTGTTTGATAATGGCTAAAGGAGGGAATGGAGGCTGGGCACGGTAGCTCATGCCTGTAATCTCAGCACTTTGGGAGGGCAACGCAGGCAGATCACCTGAGGTCAGGAGTTCAAGACCAGCCTAGGTAACATGGTAAAACCCCACCTCTACTAAAAATACAAAAAATTAGCCAGGCGTGGTGGCAGGCACCTGTAACTCCAGCTACAGGGAGGCTGAGGCAGAATTGCTTGAATCTGGGAGGTGGAGGTTACAGTGAGCTGCAATGGCGCCACTGCTTTCCAGCCTGGGCAACAGACCAAGACACCGTCTCAAAAAAAAAAAGAAAAAGCAAGAATGGAATGGGGAGTAACTACATAACTAGATACATACATAAGATACAAAACAGACTATGGGAAACTCATAAGACAAATGAGTTTTTTTTTTTTTTTTTTTCTGAGATGGGGTCTCATGCTGTCGCCCAG